CAAATAATGGAATACTACTAACCATTAAAACAAACTACTGATACATGCTATAACTTTAGTGAATCTCAAAAATATTACACTGAGCTCAAGAAGCTGGGCACAAAAGAGTATACACTACATGATTTTACTTATATGAAATTCCGTAATAAGCAACATTAATTTCGAGTGATGGAAAACAGTTCAGTGGTGGCTTGGGGTGGACATGGGAGAGCTTGACTGCACATGAGCATGAGAGAACTTTGGGGGATGGGGAAAATGTTCCATATCTTTGTTTTGTTTTGTTTTGTTTTTTTAGGCGAGGCAACCCTTGATTGACCTCACAGATTGCAAGGACCTTGTCAGCTTACAAACCCTTATTTTTTATTTTTTACGCCTACAGCACCTGGTCTTCCTAGGTGGTCTCCCATCTAAGTACTAATCAGGCCCGACCCTGCTTAGCTTCTGAGATCAGACAGGATCGAGCTTGTTCAGGGTGGCATGGCCCTAGACCTCTCCTTCATTTCTGAAGGACAGCTTTGCTGGATAAAGTATTCTTTGTTGGTATTTTTTTTCCCTTCAGTATTTTGAACTTTTCATCCACTCTGTCTTGCTCTGCATGGTTTCCACTGAGAAATTCACTTATAGCCTTATGGAAGTTCCTGTGTATGCAGTGTGTTCCTTTTCTCTTGCTGGTTTCAAACTTTTCTTTGTCCCTGATGTTTGAAAGTTTTATGGTAATGTGTCTCAGTGACTATGGGGGACCTATGAGCATCATGTACTTGTTTGTCTGTATCTCTTCTGATTGGGAAAGTTTTCAGCTATTATTTCTGTAAATAATCTTTCTGCCCCTTTCTCCCTCACTCCTTGTGACACTCCCATATTGCAAACATTTCCCTTGATGACATCCCATAAATTATGTGCTTTGTTCAGTCTTTTTTCTCCTCTGGATGATTTGAAATGATCTGATGCTTGGTCACAAGTTTTTCTTCTGCTTCATCAATTGGCCCTTGATGCTCTCTGTTGCAATTTTTTTCATTCTTTGTATTCTTTAAGTCCAGAATTTCTTTTTAACTCGTTAAAAAAATTTTTTCTATCTCTGAACTTGATGTGTTCATTAAGTATTATTTTCCTGATTTCTCTGAGGGGTCTCTCTGTGTTCTCTTGGAGCTGACTGAGCTTCTGTAAAACAGTTATTTTGAATTCTTTGTCTAGTATTTTAGTAGATTCACTTGCTGGAAACTTGTGCACCTTTGGTGATGTCACGTTTCCTTGATTTTTCGTGTTTCTTATATAGCCTTTTGTTGATGTATTCACATTTGATGGATCAGTCACCTCTTTCCTGCCTTTACGGGTTCATTTTGGTGTGGAAAGACCTTCACCTTGGGTTGGTTTCAAGGTCACCGGGCTGCGAGGGTGTGGCAGTCTTGGCTCTGGGGAGGGCCTGGGCATGTAATTACCATGCACTTCTGTCAGCTGAGGTCAGGAATGGCAAATATTGTAGAGATTCTCAATAGCCGAGGCTGCAAGGTGAATTCACGGGTACCTGGTCATGTCGAAGCTGGGAAGTTGGGTAGGGTGTGACGTCAGGACTCCGTTCCAGTCATAGCAGGAACGTTTCCCATTTAACCAGTGCTTTGTTGTCATCGCCAGAGCCACACCCCCTTTTTGCTTCTCCTCCATCGTTGCTACTTTGCTGATGAGTCATTTCTACTCCTGTGTTATTTCTACTTTGATTCCTGGCCCGTGGAGAAGCTCCACCTCTCTGGACTTCATGTCTCACCCACTTTCCTCAGCTCTCCCTCCGTTGCTCTGCAACATTGGTCCGTACGTGCCACATGATCGACGTGCGTTCTTAAATCGGCCTCGGACAGCACGTGTTCTATTCTGTTGCAGTTGTTTTTTCCCGGGTTCGGACACACGCTTCTGCAGAGCCTCACGTCACCAGGAGGAAAGATCCTGTAGGGATCCTTTGCTAGAAGAGCGAGTTTTAGAGTATGCCTATCTTCTCTGTTTCACCTTATCCTGCCATCTTTCCCCTGGTGAGGTCGCCACCATTCATTTGCTTTAGAGGCGCAGAAATGCCCAGTAGCCACTTCTCCAACCAGATTTCAACTCCCTTCATTGAAAAGCATCCCATGGACTCATTGCCAGATGTGACAGATGCACATTTGTGATGAGGGTTCTCCATCTCTATAGTCATCGTGTATTTCACCAGCGTTTGTTTGTGTTCAGGTTGCTGCTGTGGAGGAGAGGACGTGGAGGCGCCCTTTGAACAGAGCATCTCTGAAGGAGTGTCACAGACCAGCACCTCCAAGGCAGCTCTGTCTTCCCAGAAGACCCACTTCTGTGAGAGCTGTGGTCCAGTCTTGAGATACATACTTCAGTTGGCTGAGCACCAAGGAACATCACACAGCCAGACAGCGTTTGAGTGTGGGGTACGTATGAAACAGTTTTATTTTAGTGCACATCTCCAAAGACACCACACACAGCACCTGAGAGACAAACCCTTCAGAAGCAGTGGAGATAGGACCTTCTTTGTGAAGAACTGTAAATTCCATGCTTCAGAGAAGCCCTTGACCTGCGATGAAGTTGGGAAGAACTTCCCGGCCACCTCAGAACATGTGCAGCAACAGACCACTCACACCAGAGAGGAGCCAGACAGAGTCACCCAGTGCTGGGCAACTATACCAAACGGGAAAAGTCCCTTCTCCTGGGGACAGTGTAAGAAAGCCTTCAGCCCTCTACATACACATATTCAGGACCGGGATGTCCATACCGCAAGACAGTGTTTCGTGTGCAGCGACTGTGGGAAAACATTCAGGTACAAATCCTCATTTGTTGTTCACCAGCGAGTGCACACTGGTGAAAGGCTTCACGTGTGTGGCGACTGCGGCAAATCTTTTAGGCGAACCTCAGTCCTCAATCAGCATCGAAGAATTCATACTGGGGCAAAGCAGTACAAGTGCGGCAAATGTGGCAAGTCCTTTAACCAAAAATTTGTCCTCATCTATCCGTGGAGAAGTCACACTGGAAAAAACTGTGACTTGTGCCGTGAATGTGTGCAATCTTGTAGCCGTAGGTCCATCCTTATCCGACAGCGGACAGTTCACACTGGAGAAAGGCGTTACGAGTGCACTCGATGCGGGAAATCCTTTCGGCGAAAATTCTACCTCATTATCCACTGGAGAGTTCACACTGGAGAAAGGCCTCACGAATGCCGTGAATGCGGAAAATCTTTCACCAGTAATTTAGTACTTATTCTACACCGGAGAGTGCACACAGGAGAAAGGCCTTTTGAGTGCAATAAATGTAGGAAGTTTTTTACCAATAGTTCGATACTCATTTTACACCAGAGAGTACATACTGGAAAAAGGCCTTTTGAATGCGGCGAATGCTGGAAATCCTTTAGCTGTCAATCTTACCTCACTCAACACCGGAGAGTTCATGGTGGAAAAAGGACTTACGAGTGTAGTGAGTGTGGGAAGTCTTTTACCTCTCGCCCTGGCCTTCGTTATCACGAGAGTGTTCACAATGGAACAAGGTCTTACGAGTGCAGTGACTGTGGGAAATCTTTTACTTCTCGCCCTGGCCTTCGTTATCATCTGAGAGTTCACACTGGAAAAAGGCCATATAAATGCAGCGAATGTGGAAAATCTTACAGCCAAAGGTCCAACCTCATTCAACATCAAAGAGTGCACACAGGAGAAAGGCCTTATGAGTGCGGCGAGTGTGGGAAGTGTTTTACCTCTAGCTCTGCCTTTCATTACCATAAGAGAGTTCACACCGGAGAGAGGCCTTATCGGTGCACTGAATGTGGGAAATCTTTTTTGTCTTGTTCCAATCTCAGTAATCATCAGAGAGTTCACACGGGAGAAAGACCTTATGAGTGCAGCGAATGTGGGAAATCGTTCATCCAAAAATATCACCTTCTTCTACACCAGAGGGTTCACACGGGAGAAATGCCTTATCAGTGCAGCGAGTGTGGGAAATCTTTTTCGGCTGGTTCCAACCTCAGTAATCACCAGAGAGTTCACACGGGAGAAAGGCCTTATGAGTGCAGCGAATGTGGGAAATCGTTTATCCAAAGACATCACCTTCTCACACACCAGAGAGTTCACACGGGAGAAAGGCCTTATCAGTGCAGCGAGTGCGGGAAATCTTTTGCATCTGGTTTCAACCTCAGAAATCATCAGAGAGTTCACACGGGAGAAAGGCCTTATGAGTGTAGTGAATGTGGAAAATCCTTTATCCAAAAGTGTTACTTTCTTATCCACCTGAGAGCTCACACGGGAGAAAGGCCTTATGAGTGCACCGAATGTGGGGTATCTTTCACCACTAGGAGGAAACTTCGTTATCACCAGGGAATTCACACTGGAGAAGGGCCTTATGAGTGCAGTGAATGTGGGAAGTCTTTTGCCTCTTGTTATGCCCTCCGTGACCATCAGAGGGTTCATACCAGCAAAAGGCCTTATGAATGCACTGAATGCGGGAAGTCCTTCAGAGCCAATTCTTACCTCGTCGAACACTGGAGAGTTCACACTGGAGAGAAGCCTTATCGGTGCGGCGAATGCGGGAAATCTTTTTCTTCTGGCTCCGGCCTTCGTTATCATCAGAGTGTTCACACCGGGGTGAGGCCTTACGAGTGTAACGATTGTGGGAAATCTTTTCCCAAGAGCTCGGCACTCATTCGACATCGGAGAACTCATACAGGAGAAAGGCCTTACGTGTGCAGTGAATGTGGGAAGTCTTTTATCCAAAGACATCACCTTATCGTCCACCAGCGAGTTCATGCAAGATAGAGGCCTTATGACTGCAGTATCTGGGAAATTCTTTAGCCATAAATCATAGCTTTCTCAACACTAGAGATTTCGTACTGGGAAAAGATCTTAAAAGTGAGGTGAAGGTAGGAAATCTACTTATATCTCTGGACTTCGTTATCATCTGAGAGTTCACACAGGATAGAGGCCTAAGGTGTAGCAAATGTGGACAATCTTACCCCAAGGTCGATGCTCTTTCATCGCTGGAGAGTTCACATGGGAGAAAGACCTTAGGAGTGCAGGGAATGTGGGAAATCCTTTTGCCAAAGAATTCACCTCATTATACACTGTAGAATTCACTCTGGAGAACGACCTTAGATGTGCAGGGAAATGTGCAATTCTCTTGTTCCGTGTAACGACACAAGAAGAAACCATAAGAAGCCATTTGTCAGAACTGAATCTCACACGTCCAGTCATCCACAGTTGGGAGCCTTCCCATAAGTCTTAGTGATGCGTAGAAACACGTGCGTCTACATTGCCCTTTCTAACTTGCCCAGGGCTCCTTCCAGATCTACGTCACTGACATTTTCTATTGTAAAAGCCATTTTGTTTCTACTTCTTGCCAAGTTCCCACAGTTTGCATCCGTCACCACTCCCATGTGCTCAGGGAAGCTGACCTCTGTCATCTCATGTATTGGAGAAAATTAGGACTAGCCTGAGCCCTTCGGAGTTCACATTCCCTTTTCTCTGACTTGCTTGGGCAAGAACCTGACTCAGTCTTGGCAGAAGAATCCCATGAGTTTGCTCGGCAACTTGGAGAAGGGTGTTTTTCAGGGATATGTTCTCTCTTGCATTTTTTCAGCTTTCAAGTCACCAACTCGAACTGTTGCCGTGCATTGCTTTGGTTTGTACAATACGGATGCCTTACTGTTTTAAGTCCTCTTTCTACTTACTGCGTGGAGTGTTTTACATACACATTTTGGTTCCACAATTTTGACGGGTGAAGTTTTTATAGGGGTCTCCAACTTTGTGTTCTTCGTGGGGCAGCATGATCGCAAAAAACAGCTCACCAGTGTTTGCCAAATTTGCATTCCTACCAACGATCTCCTAGGAAAGACTGCAGGGTTCGCCAGTTCTCATCGGAAGCCTGGATGCTATGAGTTTTAGGAAACACAGAGATCAGTCACCCCGAGGAGGGGGCAGAATGTGACATTCTCAGGTGCTTCTTGGAGCAGCATGAATTTTTCCCCGTTGTTTACAGGGGATATCTCAGGGGATAGAGAAGGGAATCCCTTCCCCAGGTCCTACGAAGATCTGTGTGCCCTCATGTCCACGATTCTGTGGGTGACGGTCGCTGATTGTAAGACCATAGGGGTCAGGAAACCATGACTACTATGGAAACAACACAAGATTAACAGGGATTGGAGGACACTGTAGCCAGCTCGATGAAACACGCCTCTTCAAAAGTGAATCCATAAATGTTTCTGTCACGGTGACCATGCGGATCAGTGCGTACACAAATCTCAGGACCTCCAGGCGTGTTTATCTTGTGTAGCCAAAGTCTTTGTCAGAGAAAGCCTCTCAGTGATGATCGCCTAAAGGGTGTCGTCACGCAGGTAGGCGAACAAAGTTAAGGGGTCTAGAGATGTGGCTCTTGTGACCCAGCCAGCATTTCTGTTGACTGAAGTCGAAATGTCCTGTATTACTATCCAACATTTGCTGCCACTGAGGCAAGACCAACCCTCAGAGGCAATAGGACAAAGTTGGTGGCGTCAGCATAGGAAATAGTCAAACCTGTTTCCCAAAAAGAGTGGGACACACAGGTTTTTTTTTCTTGAGCCATTTTAAAGCTTTTTAAAGGTATGATTTACATGTAATAAGCTACACACATTTAAAATGTATTTGATAAGCTTTGACATACTTATGAAACTGTGAAAACGTAACAGCCATGGTAGTGACTAAATCTGTCACTGTATTTTTGCCTCAAGTCCTTTTATAATTTCTCCCTGCCCTTCACAGCCCTCCAAATAATCATCGCTTTACTTTTCCTTAGTGTAGATACCTTTGCATTTTCTAGAATTTATAAGATGGGAATCATTAGATGTTCACCTGGTTTTTTTCTCTGGTTTCCTCCATGTTGCATTATCTGAGATTCATCAATGATGTAAGTAACTCAGTTTTTCATTTCTGTCTTTGAATATATTACAATTGGTTTATTCATTTATCTCTATATGGACATTTGGGTTATTTCCAATTTTTTTTTTACCATTGTAAATTAAGCTTGTACGAACCCATGTGTACAATTTTTTATATGACATGTTCCACTTATCTTTTGTCAATAGAGCGAAATGTTTGAGTCACAGGATAGGTGAATGTTAACTTTTGAAGAAACTAACAAATGACGATCTAAAATGACTGTACCTCTCTTCATTCTTATTAGCAGTTTGTGAATTTCATCTCTCCACATTATCATGAATACTTGGTTTAATTTGTCATTTTTAGCCCTATTAAGTAGTTTATAGTGCTGTCTCACTGTGGATGTAATTGCATTTCCCTAGGGATTATCAATGAGGAGTTTGTCATATGTTTAGTTGCTATCTGTAGTCTGGTAAAATGTCTGCTTATATCTTTTGCCTATTTTATGAATTTTGGCCATTTTCCTTTTCTTTACCAACTAGGACGGCGAAGCAACAAGGGTGTATGTTGGAATTTCACTCGTTTTTTTAATACCGCAATGACTTCTTTGTTTGATGGATTGCTTTCAATACCGGAAGAATATATCTTTTGTTTTTTTTCTCCAAAATCTTCGTGCTATACACAATGTAATGGAAACATATACCACACACTTTGGAGATTAATCTGCACTGTTAACATATTCTTCATCTGTTTTGTAAGGCCAGGCATTCAGTAATACGGCAATGCCTTGCTGTGTAGCGTTTGCCCATTTTCCTGGTCTGTCACGTCACTGGTGGATTGGGACAGATGGGAGACTCTTGGCATCA